ACCAATGCCACAACTACACGCAGGACACTATTCAGAGTGAGATTTAATAAAATCAGGTTTATATTAAAAATGTTCTTACCGAAAATTTACGCAGTTAACACAAACAATTCTACAAAACTGTTTTTGCAACGTTCCGGAGGCTTAGCCCCCAATACCAGAACAATCAGTAAGGTTCGTTTGGCGCATTTTGTTTTCGCACTATTTTATACTTTTTCGTTTCACTGTGCATCAATTTAGGCCGCTTTGGCTGTAGACATTTCCTGTCGTCATTTGGCTTTAAAAGTTTAGTCACAGTGCAGTGCTTTTGACATTTTACCAGAGCCTGACAAACAAATGGCGCATTTCCATTTCAAACTATTTCAAAGCAATTTCGCAAACATGAGACCAGCTCAGATCATGTGGCTACATAAACTTAAAAATAAATCTACGCCTTGCGCTCGTAGTATGTAAAAACGTTTCTCAGAAAAAGGCTCAAAGTTGCCAAAAATTCTAATCAGTCACCCTTTAACCGGTCACAGCGATGGCATACTACTTACATACAAAAAGCCTATGCTAGTTGAAAGCCCTATACTTCAGTTCACCAAGGGCCCTTGTAATCAGAAGATTTGAAAGCCAGTTACATCGAAAAGTCACAATTTCTTACACGTAAACAACCATTTGAATTACGTGAAAAGTTTTGCTTATGATTGTGGACATTTCCAAAGTAGTATTAATTGAGCGTTTCTTAGAGAACCTGTGATTCAAAAAAGGCTCTTGGCATTGCTCTCAGAGCAAAACATTACTGAAAGTCTAACTGTTACTCGGGTGTCGGTCGAGTGCCGTAAAGATGGCGCCGGAGTACAATCTATACCAACTACCAACAGTCGCTGTTTATTTGTCAAACACGATGGCAGTAGGAAACAGCTTCATTTTAGTCCTGGGTTTCCAACTGAGTGCTGTCTCCTTGGAATCTGAGCTGTAGGATTGAGTCGATCCACACTGGTCTTAGTGCTTCAGTCTGCTTGACCTGTTTTGCGTTTGTGTGCAAGAGTCTCTTTAGAAGAACCTGCCCCTGCGTACGCAAAATAAAAACATTTATTGGCTTACTACCTTTTAAGGTACAGTTCATGGCATGGCTTATAATGATTCTAATTTCCCGTACTAAACATAAACAAATCGATTTTATCATCTCAGCCTACCAAAATTTCTTTAAAATAAGCTTTAAATACTTCTAACGTTGGAGCAGAGTAACTCCAATTTTTCACCCTTGAAATATTTTTTGTGGAAAACGGAAAGAAACATGTAGCTGTTATCATTACAAGGAAAAGTGAGTGCGATTAACTTGTTCCTGATTGGTTGAAAGTTAACATGTAGCTCTGATTTTTTATCTAGAGCAAGATCTCAGCAGAAGATCATTTGAAAGTACTCATTTGAA